CACACTGTCGCTTGTTTAGAAAAAAACTGCCTTCTGACACTTAGCAGCCACTGGACAAATTCATCTCCATTCATCATTACTGACACCCATTAGCCAAACTCCAAACAAGTGGCTATCGGCTATCGTTCCAAACACACGCGGCATGGTCCAGCCACAAATACCACTCACTCATCACAAAATCTCCAGAACTGTAAAACCTACAAACGTGAAATTTGGCACATATGTTCCTCTTGGCTTCTAAGTGCTCACTAAGAAAGGATTTTTCAAAATGACCATCAGATCATTAGTATTTCTTATACAGTATTATATTAACATGCTCTGATTCTAAGGAGTTAGACATTCTACTCCCCCTCCCCACCTGAAAAGAACTCTATTCCAACTGCCAGTTGCCTTAGATTAACACACTCTGATGCTGCCCCTTTGCTAGACCGGACATAGGAGTGGCCAGTGGGTGATTCATCCGGCCCGTGGAAACATGGGAGTCCTGTAATGCCATACAAACCAGCAAATATCACCCAGTCTTGCAATGCTGCTCAAGGTAGTCCTTGACCTAAGACCCTAATTGAGCCCAAAATTTCTGTTGCTGAGGGAGAGGGTTGTTAAGTGGATTTTGGCACATTTTACGAACTTTTTGCTTCTCATATTTGTTAAGTGAATCGCTTCCATTGTTAAGTGAATCTGGCTTACACTTAGGACTTAGGCCCTGGATCTGAAGTTCCGATGGTCACCATCCCACCTGGTTGCTAGGCCGAATTTCAGGTGCTCGGCAACATGGCTGCATTTACGGCCATTTGCAGCATCCTGCAGTCACATGGCTGTGTTTTATGATGGCTTTGGCAAAGTAGTAAATGCAGTTGTGCTGCCAAGCATCTGAACTGCAGTCATATCAGAGATGACTTCCTACTGGTTTGATCTGGAAACTTATAGTAGTAGTAACTTGGCTGGACACGCGCCCGAAGTAGTTCTATCCTCGGCGCTGACATCTTGATTTTAGGTTCTGCGCATGCGCAGAACAATCTTCATTGCAAAAATGTAATTTCCCCCCATTTCCTGACATTGTGCATATGCGCAGACCTTTTTAGGCATAAATGTGTCTGGTGCACACACAAAACATTTCGAGTGGCAAACCAGCAGTAATGCCGGCAGCAAACCGCCCCTGAGTCATATGGCTGCAAGAGGGGAGGAGGTTGACCATCAAAACTTCAGATATTGGCTGCAAGTCCCCATCGTCACTGTGAACGGTTGCTAAGTGACCCGTCATAAGCAGAGCACCTGTAATGGCTGGTGTAGAGGCCCAATGGAACCGGTAGAGTGGCAGATCCAAATTCATCCTAGGGAAATTCATTATTAATGATTGCTTGGACCTCCAGTTGCCGGGTGCTAGGTAAATGCTGTAGCTGAGAATCAATTTTGCAAATATTTCAACACAGAAAATGATTTTTTCCCCTGTCATGAGCCAAATATATGCCGTACGTAAAGCAGCACTGGATGCACAAATGGAGGGATAGCAGGGGAGAGGAGATGGTTTCACGCATGTGAATGCACCACTTTCACAAATGCAGCTTCACACACGTGGGTGTGAGAATTAGTGCTCGGCCAACAATTCTGAGACCCGGTACCGCAGGAAAACTAAGATTCATAAAATCCGCAACTTGCAACATAAATCACAAAACATGCACCCCGCCTCCTCCCGCCCTTCCCATGGGGCTGAATGCTGTGGAATGCAAAGGGATCCTACCCCACATTGAAATATTGCCTCATCTCTTGGCGCCGATTCCTCATGATTGCCTTATATTCACCGATCCGTAACTTCTTGCCATCTACTAAGCACGTCCGCTTCGGCCTGGGCTTGTACTTGTAGTCCGGGTACTTCTCCAAGTGCTGCTTGCTGAGGCGAGCCTGCTCCTCGTAGTATGGCTGTTTTTCAAGGTTCGTCATAGCTTTCCAACGAGACCCTATCAAAGAAAGAGGACAAGAAAATCAAGTTAAAATATTCATGACTGGGAGAGACATGGGAACAAGGTCAGCCAATGAATAGGCATAGCAGCTAAGTCAGCCAATGGGAGCTTAAACAGATCTGAGTCTGTGCAGAGAACTGAAACAGAAAGTTAAGAAGAAAGCAGTCTGCTGCTCTGAGAAGTAAACTAGCAGTCTGACTGGGCATGTCTGCTGAAATGAATCTAACTGCTTACGTTTGCCTGTAACTCTCCTGCCTTGTGTTTACTTAGAA